GCTTTTTAAATGACCTTAAATCCTCCCCCGAATTCTTTAGGAGCCCCACCGTGAAGAAAGCCTCTCGAACACGGAAGAGGCCAGTCGTGCATTCGGGTGGATCCCCATCTATCTGAACTTTCTACGTTTGTTTCCTGCCAAACTTAACGAGTCCGGGGGCTAAACAAATCGGAAAGTCTCCCCGCTTTCGTGAGGAAGGAGAACAGGCAACGGCTGTGGCAGGGGTCCGCGGGAAGGCGGGCCGCGTAGGAGAACACGGGGCGGGCTCACCCTCCTCTGACGCGACCCGCGGGGGTGGGGGGAGCGGGCTCGTCGGAACGCGTGCTGGGGCGGAGCCGCATGAACTGGAAGGTGTGGAGAGGGGGCGGGGCTGCCGAGGAGGCCGGGGACGGTGTTGGCCCCCGTCCGACTTAGCAGGTGAAGCGTCGCTCCCCAGTCCGAGGGCTCGGCTGGATGGGTCGGTCCTTCCCCGCTGCCTCGAGGTAACCGCGCCGGGGCACTCATTTCACGCGCTGCCCTCTGCCCTGACATAGCCCAGGAAGCGGAGGCGTCCCACGTTTGGCAGAGGCACTGGCGGAGAAGCATCCTTTGGGGTTTCTCCCCCGCCAAGCCCCATAAGGCACCGACCGGGCGGGACTGGCTTGGCTGCTTCCTTGGAAGCTCCGGCAGATTATTAGCCCCTTCGAGCCTGGCCGGTTTCGCCTCCAGAGAAGATTCTCCGGAGTCGTTTCTTTTCCGTTGGTTCTCCTGACACGTCGATGGTGAGGATCTCGAAGCCTAGCCCGCGGCGCTGCCATGGCCTTCGCTAATTTCCGGCGCATCTTGCGCCTCTCTAACTTTGAGAAGCGGCGATCCAAGGAATACGAGCACGTGCGCCGGGACTTGGATCCCAATGACGTGTGGGAGATCCTCGGCGAGCTGGGCGACGGCGCCTTCGGCAAGGTGTACAAGGTGAGCGGGAAGACGGCGCGGAGTAGGGGTTTGGGCGAGCAAATCGGAATGGGCTCAAAGAAGAACAAGTGGGGGATCGGAGGGCACGGAAGGAAGCTGTAAGTGGAGAAGGTGAAGCGGGTGGGTGTGCTTAGCCCTAAGACACGAGAGGCCTATTCAGGTCTCTGAAGAGGCACTGTATGAAACACAAGAGAAGACCGAGATCGATGCTCTCCCCTTCCGGAGTGCAGGATAAGCATGATGGACCTAAGAGCTTCTTAAGAACAGAACTTCTGATCAGTCCCAACAGTTTGAGAGGGGAGAGGTGTGGGCTCCCCTTCACTGGAAGTGTTAGAAGCTGGACAGCTTTCATTTAGGGGTTGGCTTGATAGTCTAGAAAATGCCCCATTCGCATCATAGTAATTGGATTTTATTTTTATTTATTCAATTTATGGCTGCCACTTGCCAAGCAACTCAGCTAAGCCATAACACAACCCACTAAGCAGTAAACCATGGTCTATAAATTACAATGGCTGAGTTCATACAATGTACTGCACCTAAATGAAATAAACCCACATTATGGCTTAGTGTAATATATCAGCCAAGTCTGTAATTCTGAGGTAAATTTCTCTAACAAAGTTACAATCAA